TCATCACAAGAAGAGTCTAAAACTGAGCCGAGGCATTTGAAATTGGCAATAGTTTCTCATTCATCCACCACAAACAATCTGTTTCTGATTTAGAGACTCATCGTTAGAAGAGTCTAAAACTGAGACGAGGCATTTGTTTAAGTAACTCGGGACAATTTCTCAGCCATGCACCACCATCAATCTGTATCTGATTTAGAGGCATTTATATTGGCAACAAGGGACTGTTAGAGAGGTAATTTAGATTACCTCGTGTCATCTGTACTGATTTCATATCCAAAATCTCAACATAGTGCCATTTAAATAAGCAACACGGGACAGAACTATATCAGATTTGGATCAGAGTGGTACTACACAGATAACTCTAGTACAAACAACCAGTTTAGATATCCTTCTTTTTTCAGAAATTCTAAACAAATTGGGATGTTGATGTTTGAATGCTAGAGAAAAAGAATTTTGGATGAATTAAAACTAAATCTAAGCCTCTAAGGTATCTCCTAAATTATATTTACCAAAAAGCTTCTTTCTAGACTCAAGCACAGAAACGTAAAAGAGCCAGTTCTGAATGTAAAACAATAGAATAAGTATTGGCAGACACAACACCAAATCTAACCTTATCCATTTGCTTTACTCCACTGGTCACCAATGCAATAGCTTTCTGAATGTTGCAAGGTCCAACAGTAGCCTGTTTACATGTAAAATTCTAAGAGACCATTAGAGTACTGAAAATTAGTTGAATCGACATTGAATTACTACAAGAGAAAGTTTCAGCAATTCAATTAAAAAAGGTAACCTTGAAGTACTCAAAACAAATCGATCAAAGAATGAAGTACCTCAGGAAGATCTTTCTTGATCCCCGTCTCTCCAGATTTTGCGTTGTTTGAGTTCTCCTCTTGTTCCTGAAAATATTTGAAGTTGTTTCAGACGGGATATATCGAAGTTTTCGAGACTAAAAACAAGGAGAGATCTAATAATCCATAATTTGTTTGCTTTCATGTGAGCGGAAAAATGCATCTACTGTCCAGTCCGAAACAGATTCGAGTTTCGTTGTCAACGAGAAAGGGATCTCAACAACCTTTATGCTGTCTCTAGCAGCCACAACTTCTATCGGCCTATTGCCTTCCTGAAAATAATCAGGGGTTCAGTAAAATCGGCAAAGTTAGGCAATAATTGTTTCATATCGGATCAGATGAGCAAGAACATAGGATTTTGCTAATTAACTGATTTCCAAGTTGGTTTTACCTCGTCTTTCTGATTAGGATCAGCCACGGCTTTAAGTAAACAGTTAATTAACTCAAGGTTTCCAATATCAGCTGCAATGTTGGAGTTGCACCACCAGCAAAAACGTTAGCTTTGGCACCTGCCTGTGATTACAAAAAGAACATTTTTCAGTTAATTAACTCAAGGTTTCCAATATCAGCTGCAATGTTGGAGTTGCACCACCAGCAAAAACGTTAGCTTTGGCACCTGCCTGTGATTACAAAAAGAACATTTTTTCAGTTAGCTCTGATTTAAGATGCTTGGCAACTGAACCAATGCAATACTACATATGACGACGTCATACCTTGACCAGCAGCTCTAAGCATGCTAGAGAACCCTCTGCCAGCGCAGAGAACAACAGAGTGATATCATCTTCACCCTCAGCATTAGGCTACAAAATCACCAAACAAAAAACAATTTATAAGGTTTATTGGAAAGTACGGTTCCAGAAGGAGGATCAAATAGAGATAGACAAAAAAAAATTACATTGGCATTGTGTTCTAACTTTGCTTGAAGTTCTGACTTCCACAGCATCTTTTTGGTCGTGGCCAGAAGCCCAAATTCACTTTCAGAATCAACAGGGACACCTCTGGAGAGCAATTCCTTTAGCAACTTGATTTCTCCTAACAAATGTATAGAGAAGACATGTAAGGAAAACTGGACAATGTTGAAATGAAATTAGTAACAGAACAATGATAACCAACCTGTTCTAGCTGCGTGAAGCAATGCTGTGGCTCCTAGTTCACATGCTATATTAATGTCAGCACCGTGCTTTAAAAGATACATTGGCGTTCCAATCTGTCCTTGCTGCGCAGAATGAACAAGCGGAGTATCCCCTGCAAAACCAAAGAATCTCACAGATCAAATTCCAAATTAATGAGTTTAGGAATAGCAAAGTTCTGCAATTGTAAAATACAAGGAAACACGAACCAGCTTCATCTTTTGCATCAGCATTGAGTTTCAGCTCTTCTGAAAGATATCTTCATATTTCAGTTTGTCCTTCTCTTGCAGCAAAGTGAAGCGCTCCACGTTTGTCCCCACGGTTTCTGTCAAGTTGGAGAAGTGATATCAGTAGACAAAAATCACTACTTGAAGAACATTGAGAAACAAAAAGTTAATAAAGAACTCACTCTTGAGGAATTCAAGATTCCCTGTACAAGCTGCATTCATGAATTGCTGAAAATTCCTCCCTCGCTAGAGTAGGAATTTCAAAAAGGAAACAAAAACATACAAAATCAGTGCTGAACTTTCTCCATCGCTACAAAACTTCAATTATACTCTCCCACAAAGTGTTCAACTTCAATTCTTATCTTCTTTTACCCCAAGTCAGAGCCAATCCATAATTTTATTATTCAAATTGATACAAGTAGTTTACGAGAAATACTAATCTAGTCCTAGAAACACTATCCCAAAAGAAGCAGAACACACAAAAAAAAAAAAAATATATGTGTTGTGAAAAAGGCCAACACTTTCTGACATTATAGTCACAAACCAAGGAATCTATGAACACAACACAACACCGGATCTGTATATTGAATTAATCTTAACTCGTCATCTTTTTGGTAACACACGAAAAACCCTAACCAGAATCGAACAGTACGTTAATTCAAAACATCTTATATAAATCGACTGAGACAAATCTACAGGTAAACCGATGTCCACAATTGTAAGGTTAGCAAAGCAAGAGATGAGATTACCTGTGTTAGTAGAAACTTAGTCGACGGCGTAGAACCACAATATCTGATATGAATTGACAAAAGAGAAAGAACTAATTAAACACCAAAACCACAATATCTTTGTGAAATTCGAAACCAAACCACACAATCGTAGGATTAGGAAAGCAAGAGATCAGATTACCTGTGAGTAGAGAGACTTCGTCGATGAACCAAATCAATCGAGAGCGATGTAAGATGCGGCGGCGTAGAGAACCTCTCCGGGTTGAAACGGCGGCGTAGAGAACCTCTCCGGGTTGAAACGGCGCCAGAAATCTCCATATATCTCTCTCTCTCTCTCTCAAATTCGTCTGTGGTTTGATCGGAGAGGAGGAGAAGAATAGAAAGAAACCCTAATTAGAGAAATTAGATGTTTTATGTTGTTTATTGGAGACAAATTAGAATCCCAAAACGTCGCCGTATTGTCATCAACGGTTATATTATTAATTTGAAAAACAATTTATTGAGACAAAAAAAAAAAAAACGAGTCTAAAACAAAACTTCGTAGTCGTATTGTAACGGCCACAAAACTAGCGTGGTACTGTGTAATTAACGGTAATAAATCATTTGAATCTATTTCAAATCTTTTTTGCTACTTCGACACTTCAGATTGTGAATCCCAGTTAGGCAGAATCTTCAAGATGTTTTTTAAAAAAGGTCAAAAAAACCATTTGCTTCCTAAAGAGTAGAGAACAATGAAAAACACAAAGTCTTGAGAGACAAGTAATCGTCACATATAAGTCAAAAGATAAGAGCAGAGATAAGAGGATGACTGAGACTTAAATCGTTGAGAAGGAACTCATGACATTAATATTCACATATAACAGTTGTTCTATGGATCGAGAGGATTCACCCGCAAAGTATTTAACTGACTTTGGTGTTCTATGGATTCGAGGAAAGCGAGAAAGAGGCTGAACATTGAGTTTAAGTATTAAAGAGTTTTGCTTGGAGGGTCTTTTCTCGAAGAAACATCCATGTCATTCGAAGAAGGAATTGATTCCTCTGCCATGGCGGATACAAGTAACACCACGTTAAATTGGAGTAGACATCTTCTCGGCCTGGTGTGAGATTGTTAAAGTTAATTTTCATATCATAAACTGTAAGTGACGTCTTTTGCAAGTTACATGTTTGGAGCAGATGTTCTCTGGACACCTATATGTGACAATTATTCCATCGTTGAGCAGATGTTAGATTTATTCAGAACAGATTCTCCTGACATACTGGTTTTTTTTATTCGGTGATTTCATTACCAAACCGTCTCTCTCAACTCTGTTTCAGAAGTTAGATTTATTCATATTCTTTGCACAAGGCATTGATATTTTTTTTATCTTTTAGTGATTTCATAAAAGCATTACTGTACCTTGCATGTTCTCGCATGCTACTTTTACTGTGTCAAAAATGCAAATGATTACAGTAATACAAAATACCCACCAAAGAAACTAAACCAACATTATCAACCTTAACAAATGATTGAGAAAGCTTCTCTTTAGAGGAACTGAAAATCGTACACAAGTGTTAACCACTGACCAGACAAATGCAAACTGAGTTTGTGTAACAAAAGTGATGAATTTGGAAGAACGGTATATAACTATCTTAGTTCAATCATCATATCAATCAAGATTATCAATCAAGATGTTGTATTTGTGAGGAAGAAAACACTGAAAATTCTGTTCACAGTGGTGCAACAACATTCTAAACACTTTTTGTATATACATTTTTTTGACTTAAGTCTCGAAACACTTGTTGTATATACATCAATATCCATTTCCTGTACCATTGAAAAAGCTTTCCTTACTCCTCAGATACTTTTGATACCAACTGGTCCCTCTGCATAGCCTGCAATTCAAGAAGGTGGAACTGAAAACACACACATCATAGAAGAACGACATAAGCAAGTGTTCACTCAAAAGGACCTTACATTTTCAAAAAATAGAATCTCAGGTGGAATATGCAGATTCCGGAATTTGCAGAGAACACCATCCCAGTCTCCAATAACCTGGAAAACCAAGATACATCACTCAGTCACAGATCAAGTAACTTGCTTGTCTTTTACCAAACAAGTCTAAAGCTTTACCTCTTCCTCAGAACCAACATGTCTGACCCAACCCTTATTTTCATAAGCTACACAGTTGTATTGATCTTCATGCGAGCAAACCTGTATATATTATTAACATTGGAGTTGTTTCTGGTAACATAGTATCTAATAGGAAACTCAAATGGAAGAAACGAACTAGATAACTGGCTCTTACCATTGAGGCAAGACGGTATTTAGTGACTGCACTGTCACCCTTGTATTGGTATATCGTATTAATATCAATCTCAGTCTGCAGAACAGAAGTAGTATCGAATATCTCTCCTTCGGTCTCATTGTTCTCCCACTTAAGTGCTAAATAATACAAGAAAAGAAAAAGCTAAATCTACTGCATTATGCTGATGTCTAATGACAAGTTTAACTTCAGAGCTTACCAATTGTGAAAACAGTTGGAGGTTTATATATCATACGTTGAACATAGTTTCGTTTCTCACATCCTTGCTTATCACAAGGCATCTTTAAGTCTATTCTGATGACCTGAATGATCTTCTCGAATGTAAACTTCTCGAACATTGCCTGTGATAACCAAAAACTTTTCTAGTCTCACTTTCACATTTTCTTATAAGATTAAGGACACAAGAAAGTGACTTGCCTTGACTTCTCTGAGTGAACCAGCATTGATGATCATACCATAACAACGTTTAATCGGATACTCCATATCAATCTTGCATCTATTGCAACTCTTCTTCGCCACTTCGTACAGTTCAAAGTACGGGTTCCAAGGGGGAAAATTATCCAAGATGTATACAAACAGGTCAAAGACATTATTTGCTTCCTAAAGAATCCAAAAAGAACATATGAAACTTGAGAAAGAAGTAACTAACACATATTAGAACAAAGTAGTTTAAAGATGAGAGCAGAGCAAAGACCAGAGGTTTGCTGAGACTGAGATTGTTGATAAAAGAGAGACGAAGTATGTCTTCCTTAAGAAACGATCCTGTAAAGTCGTGACGTACGTTGTTCTGTTTTGCAAAAACGCTAATTTGCCACAGAGACTGCAAAATTTTAAAGCAAGAGATCGATAAAGATAGATAGGTAACAAAGATAGGTTTTGCAAAAAAAGCCCTCTCCGTCGTGATCTCTGAACAATATGTAGAGGACTGTTTTTTTTTCTTTTTGAAGAAATATATGTAGAGGACTGTTTCAGAGAGATTCTATGGGGAAAAAGAGTAAGTATATATATATATACTCAAGAGAGCCAAGAAGATGAGATTTTCACTACTTACATATCTATGATTTTGTCTGTTTCTTCGGTTTTCTCCATGATTTGGCTGGAAACCAAAACCAAAAGATTCTCTCGAGGAAAAGGAAAAAAAAAAACAACAATTGAGATTTTAAAAAATCTTGTTTTAAAAAAAACAACAATTGTGATGGTCACGTGATTTCTATTAAGAATTGAGCGCGGGAAAGAACTGCAACTTAGTGATCTTTAATTTTTGGGTAATATTAGTAGATAATATTTGATTCAAAAAGAATTAAGAAACTAACCATACAATTTTTTTTAATGAGAAAATAGCTATGACTCCTTGTTTCGAATAAGATAAAAAGACATAATCATCTTATTTTGTTTTAAAGTGAGATAGAAGAAAATAAAAAATTTGGTGGCCAAAAAACAAATGATATTTCTTTTCGCGAAATTTTAAAAAATAACATGTAACATTTATATTTAACATGTTATATATTCACAAAACATGGTATTTGTAAAAATAGCATTATTATTTGTGAAAATTAAACTAAATAGCGTGTAATTCGCAGATATAACATGTTACAAAACAAAATGACAGAAGTTCCAAAGTAACTGAAAATGAGAGAGAAAGGGAGAGAGAAAATGAGAGAGACTTTCTGTTGAACAATACTTTTATTCACCCCTTCTTAATTAACCAATCATAATATAATTCTTTTATAAACCTATACAAAAATATAATTTCGTTTAATTACAAAATCTAAATCCTACTTACTATTTTATCAACCCAAACTGAAATCTAATTTCGTTTAATTACAAAATCTAAACCCGAATCAATATTTTGTCAACCCAAACAAAAATATAATTTCATTAAATTACAAAATCTAAACCCTAACTACTATTTTATCAACCTAAACCTAAATATAATTTTGTTTAATTACAAAATCTAAATCTGAACCACTATTTGTCAATCCAAAACGAAATATAATTTTGTTTAATTACAAAATCTAAACACTAACTACATTTTTTTATAAACCCAAATCGAAATAAAATTTTGTTTATTTATAAAATCTAAACCATAACCACTCTTTATAAGCTTAAACCAAAATTTAATTTCCTGAAGGAAAATAGTATATAATTTATTTCCTTTATTTTTTTTATTTATTTATTTTTTTTAAAGAATTGTACACATGTTTATGTGATTTTGAAAAATAACATGCAATATATGTAATGGGTATAACAGTAATTGCAATTGAGGAGAGAAAGAGCCTCTAACACCATGACTATTTCCTTAATTCTTTTTGAATCCATGGTTATTTTGTATATATTCCTTTAATTCTTTATGCCGCAATAAGTTAGTCTGGGCGTGCGTTCGGGTATTCGGTTCGGTTCCAGATATATACATTCGGTTTCAGTAGAAGTAGAGAAGTAATGGGTTCGAATGTGGTTCAGTTCCATTTCGGGTAACCAAATGAATATATCGATTCGGCTAGCAACCAATATCAATGGATATACAAAAACACTATCCATTCGGTTATTAACCTCTAACCGAATCCAAACCAAAACCAAAACTTCAGTTTGGTTTTGGTTTGGTCCATTCGGTTGGTTAATATGCCATTAACACGAATTAAAAAGATTTTAGCGAAAGGGTTATATGGATCCCAATCAAAAGACAACAAACATTCCATATTTGCTAAAAATGAAGCATGCTTCTAAAACAAGAATACAAATTGGAGATTCAATATGACTAATTTGTTAATTAAGCTGTTTATTGATAAGAGTAACTAGAAAAGATAAGTGTTACTGTCCAATTACATATTTACAAACGTCTAAAGACATGTAATCCCAGCTGTGTTTATATATCTAACCTAGACATGTCAATTAGGGCTAAAGCCCACGTGCTAGTCCGGCCCGGCCCTAAAAAATATCGGGCTCGGGCTTAAATATATATGTCCAGAAAAAATAGGGCCTTTTGGACTAAGCCCATTCGGGATAAAGGGTTTTCTGGACTTAACCCGGTCAGGCTCGGGACGGCCCGAAAAACCCTTAAATAAAGAGATTTTTATTTTTGTAAATATTATAGTTTTGATAGAAGATTTGATTAATGAATTAATTTTTCATATTTACTTACTAGCATTACTTAATACTTTTAAAATATTTATCTATCATGTTTTCTATTATTTATATATGTCAAAACTGAACAAAGCTAAAATTGTTTATATATATATATATTGACTCTATCATCTACTTTAAAGTATTTTAGTTTCATGTATTATTAGGTTGAAGTGTAAATAATTTATTTAGTTTTCATTTTTTTTTCTTAAATTAAGTTAGATTTAATGAATATTGATAAGTTATTTAAATTTTGATACAATATTTTTATAGTATACTTTTAAATATTGTTTTTTAAAAACTATTATGAACTTAGAAGTTGATTTTTTATCGTTAGCCAAAGCCCAAAAAAGCCTGAAAAGCCTTGTAGCCCTGTTAGGACCGGGCTGGGCTTTGAAATATAAGCCTGTATATTTTTCAGGCGGGACCGGGCCGGGCTCAAATATATGAGGGCTTTACAAGTTTTGGACGGGCCGGGCCGGGCTAGCCCGATTGACATGCCTAATCTAACCTATATACAAGTGTTCAATTTGATAAAATGGTATCTAAGTATTCTATATATACTCAATGATTATAACAGTGCTAAGTAATTGAGTTATTATTATACGTATGAGTTATCATAACAATGCTAAGCAATCTTTTTTTTTGTCTTTTTTTCTTCTAATTTTCCATTTTCTATATTATTATTTTTTGTATTTTTTGGCTAAATTCATTTAGAATTTTGGTTAGTTACGGTTATTTATTCAAATATCCAAACCGATCCGAAGCTAAATTGCTAAAGTAACCGGATGTTTATTATCTTACCATATATGAACTAACCGAAACCGAGCATAACCGAGCGGTTAACAGACCTCCTTGTGAGCAAACCTGAAATATATAAAAGTGGAGTTGTAACATTAATCTGCAAAACTAAACTTAAATGAAGCAAATTTTTTGATACTTGACCTCTTACCCATTGAGACAAGAGTGTACGTGGTGAATGAACCTTTGTTTTGGTATATAATATACTAATATCTATCTCTGTCGCCAGAACCAGAACAGAAGTTGTATCTAACATTTCTCCTTCAGTCTCGTTCTTTGTCCAATCAAGTGCTATACAAAATAGGAGAAACAAAAAAAGACTACTACATTTTGTTGTTGATCTCTACTAACCAATTTAACTTCATAGCTTATCATCACGTGAAAAGTGAAAAGTGATGATGAAATTTTGTTTATCCTAAGTTGAACGTAGCTTTGTTTCTCACATCCTTCCTTATCACAAGGTTTCTTTAAGTTCATCTTAAGGATATTCTCAAACTCAAACTGAGATAACTAAACTTTTCATGAGACTGTATTTATAGTTTTGCTTAATGTATGAGGTGATAAAAAAAGTGACTTGCCTTGAATTTTCTGAGTGAACATCAGATCGAAAGAGCGCAGAAGCTTTAAGATGTTTAGAAACAGGTCTAAAACACCATTTGCTTCCTGAAAAGTACTAATAGACAACATAAACAATTGAAGCGTAAGAAAGAAGTAATTAACAACACTCATAAGACACAAAAGGCTTTAAAAGATGAGAGCAGAGACCAGAGGATGAGTGAGACTGATTTTCTCGAGTAGGAACTCACAAAGTATGTCTTGTGGAAGAAGAGATTCATCATTTGTGAGGCTGTGAGGTACGTCTTGAACATAGTCCATCAAAAAATGGCTTAAGAAAACACTAATCTTCCACAGAGACTGCACAAAATCACATTCTTGATAATGTAAATCAAATAAACAAGATCGATATAAAATAGATGCAGGCTAGTTAAGTTCTGCAAAACTAGACCTTGAGTATCATAGCAAGCGCTGAAACGAAAGTGGCGTCTAGTATCTTCTCTTCATATTTTTCTATCATAGCAAGAGCTGAAATAAGAGTCTGTGAGATCTCTGAATGATAATAGATAAGCACCAAAGAGACGAATTCTCAGAGAAAATCTCAGGGAATAGAATAAAAAATACACAAAACATAAAAACCAATTTTAATCATCCCATGACTATCTTTGATCCCAAACACATCTGAGAAGAAAGGGAAATTAAGAAATCGTAGAAGAATTCTTACTTGTGTTTTTCTCATAAGTGCATATAAACGAGCACATCTTTTTCTTGCTCCAAGATCCATTACATAAGTCACATTTAATCTTCTAGTTTCATCAAGCTTTACCTGTTTAATGAACATAAATATGAATCTATAACTCATGAGCATAAGGAATAAGATAATCAACTGAATACACTAAATAACAAACATATATTAAAAGAACAACACATTACCATGGAGCACCTAATCGACCAAGTCCAGCTCAACCAACCAATCTGATGGAAAAATCCGGATCAATATCTTCCACCCTGCAAATTTAAAATAACAATCATTAGAAACAAACATTATCGTGAGAAAAATCTTAAACTGAGCCGAGGCATTTGAAAAGGCAACACGGGACGTAGTTTCTCATTTATGCACCACCAACAATCTGTTTCTGCGTTAAAGACTCATCGTTAGAAGAGTCTAAAACTGCGACGAGGCATTTGTATAAATAACACGGGACATAATTTCTTAGCCATGCACCACAACCAATCTGATTCTGAGTTAGAGACTCATCGTTAGAAAAGTCTAAAACCGAGCCGAGGCATTTGAATAGGCAACATGGGACTGTTAAAGGGGTAATTTAGATTACCTCATTTTGTATCCAAAAACTCATCATGAGAAGAGTCTAAACCTGAGCCGAGGCATTTGAGAAGGCAACACGGGACGTAGTTTCTCATTTATGCACCACCAACAATCTGTTCTGAGTTAAAGACTCATTGTTAGAAGAGTCTAAAACTGAGACGAGGCATTTGTTTACGTAACTCGGGACAATTTCTCAGCCATGCACCACCAACAATCTGTTTCTGAGTTAGAGACTCATCGTTAGAAGAGTCTAAAACCGAGCCGAGGCATTTGTATAGGCAACAAGGGACTGTTAAAGAGGTAATTTAGATTACCTCATTTCGTAAACAGAAACTCATCATGAGAAGAGTCTAAAACTGAGCCGAGGCATTGAAAAGGCAACACGGGACATAGTTTCTCATTTATGCACTACCAACAATCTGTTCTGAGTTAAAGACTCATCGTTAGAAGAGTCTAAAACTGAGACAAGGCATTTGTATAGGCAACAAGGGACATAATTTCTCAGCCATGCACCACCATCTATCTGATTCTGATTTAGAGGCATTTATATTGGCGACAAGGGACTGTTAGAGAGGTAATTTAGATTACCTCGTGTCATCTGTACTGATTTCATATCCAAGATCTCAACATAGTGCCATTTAAATAAGCAACACGGGACAGAACTATATCAAATTTGGATCAGAGTGGTACAACACAGATAACTCTAGTACAAACAACCAGTTTAGATATCCTTCTTTTTTCAGAAATTCTAAACGAATTGGGATGTTGATGTTTGAATGCTAGAGAAAAAGAATTTTGGATGAATTAAAAGTAAATCTAAGCCTCTAAGGTATCTCCTAATTATATTTACCACAAAGTTTCGTTCTTGACTCAAGCACAGAAACGTAAAAGAGCCAGTTCTGAATGTAAAACAATAGAATAAGTATTGGCAGACACAACACCAAATCTAACCTTATCCATTTGCTTTGCTCCACTGGTCACCAATGCAATAGTTTTCTGAATGTTGCAAGGTCCAACAGTAGCCTGTTTGCATGTAAAATTTTTAAGAGACCATTAGAGCACTGAAAATTAGTTGAATCGACATTAAATTACTACAAGAGAAAGCTTCAGCAATTCGGATAAAAATGGTAATCTTGAAGTTCTCAAAACAATTCAATGCAAGAGAAATGCAAAAACCGATCAAAGGATGAAGTACCTCAGGAACATCTTTCTTGATCCCGGTCTCCTCTTGTTCCTGATTTTTTTTTTAAGATGTTTCAGACGAGATATATCGAATTTTTTGAGACTAAAAACCAGGAGAGGTCTTCTAATCCATACTTTGTTTGCTTTCATGTTAGCGAGAATTCCATCTACTGTCCAGTCTGAAACAGATTCGAGTTTTGTTGTCAACGGGAAGAGGTTCTCAACAACCTTTCTGTTTTCTAGCAGCTGCAACTTCTATTGGCCTATTGCCTTCCTGAAAAAAAATCACAATTCTGGTAAAATTAGCAAAGTTAGGCAAGAATTGTTTCATATCGGATCAAATGAGCCAAAAAAAAAAGGTTTTTGCTAAACAACTGATTTCCAAGTTGGTTTTACCTCATCTTTATGATTAGAATCAGCTACGGCATTAAGTAAACAGTTAATTAACTCAAGGTTTCCAATATCAGCTGCAATGTGCAATGGAGTTGCACCACCAGCAAAAACGTTAGCTTTGGCACCTGCCTGTGATTACAAAAAGAACATTTTTTTCAGTTAACTCTGATTTAAGATGCTTGGCAACTAAACCAATGCAATACTAGATATGACGACGTCACACCTTGACCAGCAACTCTACGCATGCTAGAGAACCCTCTGCCACTGCAGATAACAACAGAGTGATATCATCTTCAGCCTCAGCATTAGGCTGCAAAATCACCAAACAAAAGACTATTTATAAGGTTTCTTGGAAACTATGAGATGGAGGATCAAATAGAGATAGACAAAAAAAGTTTACATTGGCATTGTGTTCTAACAGGACTTCCACAGCATCTTTTTGGTCATGGCCACAGATAAATGGCGTCCCTAATCTGGAGAGCAATTTCGTTAGCACTTCGATTTCTCCTAATAAAAGGTATAGAGAAGACATATAAGCAAAACAAAACACTACATGGCTGGACAATATAATTTTTTTTTATTGAATTGATACTAATTGAACCACTATCCCAAAAGTAATCTATGCACACAACACCGGATCTGTATTACAAGTAATCTATGAACACAAAATAACATGTGTTGTGAAAAGGCCAACACTTTCTGACATTATAGTCACAACCCAAGTAATCTGCATGCTGATTCGTCATCTTTTTGGTAACACACGAAAAACCCTAACCAGAATCGAACAGTGCGTTGATTCAATACATCTAATATGAATTGACTGAGACAAATCAACAGGTAAACCAATATCCACAATCGAAGGCGTAGAACCACAATATCTGAAGTTTCTCCCTTGCTAGAGTAGGAATTTCAAAAAGGAAACAAAAACATACAAAATTAGTGCTGAACTTTCTCCATCGCTACAAAACTTATACTCTCCCACAAAGTGTTCAAGTTCAATTCTTATCTTCTTTTACCCCAAGGAGCCAATCCATAATTTTATTATTGAAATTGATACAAGTAGTTTACGAGAAATACTAATCTAGTCCTAGAAACTCTATCCCAAAAGAGGCAGAACACAAACAAAAAAAAATAATATGTGTTGTGAAAAAGGCCACCACTTTCTAGTAACAAACCAAGGAATATATGAACACGAGACAACACCGGATCTGTATATTGGATTAATCTTAACTCGTCATCTTTTTCGTAACACACGAAAACCCTAACCAGAATCGAACAGTACGTTAATTCAAAACATCTTATATAAAGCGACAGAGATGAGATTACCTGTGTTAGTAGAACCACAATGTCTGATTCTGATATGAATTGACTAAGACAAAAGAGAAAGAAATTATCAAACACCAAAACCACAATATCTTAAGGATTAGGAAAGCAAGAGATCAGATTACCTGTGTTAGGAGAGAGACTTCGTCGATAAATCGAGAGCGATGCGGCGGCGTAGCGAACCTCTCCGAGTTGAAACGGCACCAGAAATCTCCATACCCATACCCATACCCATACCCATACCCATCTCTCTCTCTCTCTCTCTCTCTCTCTCTCTCTCTCTCTCAAATTCGTATGTGGTTCGATGGGAGAAGAGGAGAAGAATAGAAAGAAACCCTAATTACAGAAATTAGATGTTTATGTTGTTTTTTGCCCAAAAAAAAAGATGTTTATGTTGTTTTATAGGAGACAAATTAGAATTCCAAAACGTCGCCGTATTTGTAATTAACGGTAATATTATTAATTTGAAAAACAATTTATCTAAAACTTCGTTGTCATACTGTAACGGCCACAAAACTAGCGTGGTACTATGTAATTAACGATAATAATAATAATAATTTGAATCTATTGCAAATCTTTTTTGCTACTTCGACACTTCAAATTGTGAAAATCCCAGTTAGACAGAACCTACAAGATGTTTTTTTCTGAAAAGGTCAAAAACACCATTTGCTTCCTAAAGAGTAGTGCACAAGAAAAACACCATTTACACCTCCAAGATGTTAGATTTATTCAGAACAGATTGATGTATTTTTTTTATCTTAGTGATTTCATAAAAATGCAAATGAGTACAGTAATACAAAATATACTCACCAAAGAAACTAAACCAACATTATAACCCTTAACAAATGATTGAGAAAACACAGAAAATTCTGTTCACAGTGGTGCAACAACATTCTAAACACTTTTTGTATATACATTTTTTTGACTTAAGACTCGAAACACTTGTTGTATATACATCAATACCCATTTCCTGTAACATTGAAAAAGCTTTACTTAGTCTTCAGATACTTTTGATCCAACTGGTCCCTCTGCATAGCCTGCAATTCAAGAAGGTGGAACTGAAAACACACACATCATAAAAGAACAACATAAGCAAGTATTCACTCAAAAGGACCTTACATTTTCAAAAAATAGAATCTCAGGTCGAATATGCAGATTCCGGAATTTGCTGAGAACACCATCCCAGTCTCCAATAACCTGGAAAACCAAGATACATCACTCAGTCACAGATCAAGTAACTTGCTTGTGTCTTTTACAAAAAAAAAATTCTAAGCTTTACCTCTTCCTCAGAACCAACATGTCTGACCCATCTTTTTTTTTCATAAGCTACACAGTTGTATTGATTTCCATGCGAGCAAACCTGTATATATTATTAACATTGGAGTTGTTTCTGGTAACATAGTCCTTAATAGGAAACCCAAATGGAAGAAACGAACTAGATAACTGGCTCTTACCATTGAGGCAAGACGGTATTTAGTGACTGCACTGTCACCCTTGTATTGGTATATCGTATTAATATCAATCTCAGTCTTCAGAACAGAAGTAGTATCGAATATCTCTCCTTCGGTCTCATTGTTCTCCCACTCAAGTGCTAATCAATACAATAACAAAAAAATGCTAAGTCTACTGCATTATGCTGATATCTAATGACCAGTTTAACTTCAGAGCTTACCAATTGTGAAAACAGTTGGAGGTTTATATATCATACGTTGAACATAGTTTCGTTTCTCACATCCTTCCTTATCACAAGGCATCTTTAAGTCTATTCTGATGACCTGAATGATCTTCTCGAATGTAAACTTCTCGAACATTGCCTGTGATAACCAAAAACTTTTCTAGTCTCACTTTCAAGAAAGATAGCTTTCTCACTGGCATAAAAGATGAAGGACAACAGAAAGTGACTTGCCTTGACTTCTCTGAGTGTACCAGCATTGATGATCAGACCAAAACAACGTTCAGGTGGAAGTTCCATACCCATCTTGCATCTATTGCAAATCTTTTTCGCCACTTCGTACACTTCAAAGTCTGAATCCCAGCGAGACATAAGCTCCAAGATGATTAGAAACAGGTCAAAAACACCATTTGCTTCCTGAAGAATAATAACATTTGAAGCTTGAGAAAGAAGTAACTAACAACACACATAAGACACAAAAAGGCTTCAAAAGATGAGAGGAGAGACCAGAGGATGAGTGAGACTGATTTTCTCGAGTAGGAAGTCACAAAGTAAGTCTTGTGGAAGAACAGATTCATCATCTGTGAGGCTTTGAGGTACTTCTTGAATATAATCCATCAAAAAGTGGCTTAAGAAAACACTTATCTTCCGCATAGACTGCACATTCTTGAAAACGTAAATCAAACAAACAAGATCGATAAAGATATATTCAGGGATTTGTATAATGAGTTTTGTAAAACCTTGAGAATCATATCAAAAGCTGAAAGAGAAGTGGCGTTCAATATCTTCTCTTCAGATTCTTCAATGTTTGAGTCTGAGAGATCTCTGAATCATAGATAAGCACCAAAGGAGACGAATTCTCAGAGAAAATCTATCTAAGGGAAGCGAATTAAAACTACTGGGAGGATGAGATCTGAATACTTACGGATCAAGGTTATGCGCTTCTTGAGCTGCTGATATTAGTTATGATCATTGGTTTAGTGGTTTACTCTGGTTATCTTAACCAGATTGTATTTGTGTATTTAGATATTTATCAGATACTTGTATAAATACTATTGTACAGATACATTTTTACAATCAATGAGAATAACAAACTTTTCTCAACGTCTTCTTCTTCTCTGATATGGTATCAGAGCACAGAAGCTCAAATCTCCATTGATTCCGATCACATTCTTCGTCTTTTGAGGTCCGATCATCATTTCTCACCATGGTTGCACCTCGGGTCATGCGACGAACCAATCGATCGAAGTCAGGAACAACTTCCGCAGCTAAGAAGACGTCACATTCCTCCGATGTTAGCGATTCTCCTCCGATTTCTCCTCCGGTTGCTAGATCCAAAGCTTCTGGAGCTTCGCGAGCCGTTGCTACATCAGGATCATCTGTCTCAACACCCTCTCCGTTTTCTATGCACAGCGCCGATCATCCAGGTTTGATTCTCGTTGCTATTCGCTTAGATGGAACAAACTATGATGATTGGGACGCTGCTATGCGTATTGCTTTAGATTCGAAAAGGAAATTAGGATTCATAGATGGTAGCTTAGCTCGTCCTGATGAATTGGATCCGAGCTTTCCTCTATGGTCTTGTTGCAACAGCATGGTTAAATCATGGCTGTTGAACTCTGTTTCGCCTGAGATTTATCGTAGCATTCTTCGTCTGAGAGATGCTTCTGATATATGGCGTGATTTGCATAGTCGTTTTCACATGAGTAATTTGCCAAGAACATTTAACCTCACTCAAGAGATTCAAGATCTTCGTCAAGGTTCTATGTCTTTGATGGCTTATTACACTAAACTGAAGACACTATGGAGTAATTTGGAAAGTACAGAAGAACTTGATGAACCTTGTGTTTGTGGAAAGGCTTCTCGTCTGCAAATGAAGGCAGAGAGAGCTAAAATTGTTAAGTTTCTGGCTGGCTTGAATGAATCTTATGCCATTATTCGGAGACAGATCATAATGAAGAAAGTTCTCCCAAGTTTGGCTGAGGTTTATAATATTCTGGATCAGGATGATAGTCAGAAAGGATTCTCTAACATGTCTGTTGCTCCTGCTGCTTTCCAAGTATCAGAGATGGAAACTTCTGCAGGTCTTGATCCTACTATTTGCTATGTTCAGAATGGTCCTCAGAAAGGCAGACCTATCTGTTCCTTTTGTCACCGTGTTGGACATATTGCAGAACGTTGCTACAAGAAGCATGGTTTTCCTCCAGGATTTGTTTCAAAGGGAAAGAACAGTGACAAATCTCTTAAACCGCAACCTGTAGCAGCACAAGTCACTTTGGCTCCTTCTCAGCCTATTCCTGAATCTTCCAATGTGGAAAGTATGATTGGCAATCTTAGCAAGGATCAGATTCAACAGTTTATAGCTTTATTCAGCTCTCAACTACAAGTTCAGGGAGTTCAAGGATCTAATGAAGCTAGCTCTTCTTCTAATCCTGAGCATACTGGTATTGATTTTTCACCCTCAACATACTGTTTTATTGGAATCTTTACTGTTTCTCAGACCACAGTTTCACCTAAGACATGGGTGATTGATTCTGGGGCTACTCATCACGTTTCTCATGATAGAAATCTCTTCTCCGATTTAGATACATCTATTGTGAGCTATGTGAATTTGCCAACTGGTTCTACAGTAAAGATCAGTGGCATTGGAACAGTTAGAATTAACAAACACATTTCTCTCAAGAATGTTTTGTTTATTCCAGAATTCAGATTGAATCTCATCAGTATCAGTTCTCTTGGTTACAGAGTTATATTTGATCCTTCTTCTTGTGAAATTCAGGATCTTACCAAGGCATTGACAATTGGAAAAGGTAGAAGGGTGGCTAATCTTTATGTCTTGGAGTATGAAGAATCAGAGATCTCAGTGAATGCAGTAGTAGATGTCAGTATGTGGCATAGAAGATTAGGACATCCAGCTTACAACAGATTGGATGTTATCTCTCAGTCTTTAGGCACTACTAGACATAAGAATAAAGGAATTGCTTATTGTCATGTTTGTCATCTTACCAAACAGAAAAAGTTATCTTACACTTCTTCCAACAACATTTGTAATTCAACTTTTGAGTTATTACATATTGATATTTGGGGGCCTTTCTCAGTTGAAACTATTGATGGATTTCGATATTTTCTGACGATTGTTGATGACCATTCTCGAGCAACATGGGTTTATTTGTTAAGACAGAAATCTGAAGTTCTTACAGTCTTCCCAGGGTTTGTTAATATGGTTGAAAATCAATATAATGTCAGAGTTAAGGCAGTGAGATCAGATAATGCACCTGAATTGAATTTTACAAGATTTTACCAAGAGAAAGGTATCAGATCATTTCATTCATGTCCTGAGACACCAGAGCAAAATTCTGTAGTTGAACGCAAGCATCAACATATTTTGAATGTTGCTCGAGCTCTCATGTTTCAGTCCAAAGTTCCTCTCAAGTTTTGGGGTGATTCTGTCTTAACTGCTGTCTTCTTGATCAATCGAACTCCATCTCAGCTTCTCTTGAATAAGTCACCTTTTGAAGTTTTAACTGGTCAATCTCCAGAATATGATCATTTGAAAACCTTCGGATGCCTCTGTTATAGTTCAACATCTCCAAAACAGAGAACCAAATTCATGCCTCGATCTAAGGCTTGTTTATTTTTGGGTTATCCTGCAGGCTACAAGGGTTATAAACTTCTTGATTTGGAGAGCAATCAGATTTTCATATCTCGAAATGTTATTTTCCATGAAGACATTTATCCTATGGCCACTGATCTAAGAGATGATTCAGCTCTGCAATTCTTCACACCTGCAGATTCCAATGATGTGTCCTCAGGTAATTCTCTTTCTTCTTCATCACCACAAATTTCTTTACCTCCAATTCCTCCTTCTTCTCCTTCACAAATTTCTTTATCTTCACAAATTCTTTCTGATAAAAGGCCAAAGAAAATGCCTGCTCATCTTCAAGATTATCATTGCTATTCTGTCAATTCAAATATTCAATATCCCATTTCTGATTCTCTTTCTTATTCCAATATTTCACCATCTCATTTTGCTTATATCAACAATATCACCTCTATTCCTATTCCTTCAACTTATACTGAGGCACAGGGATCTAAAGAGTGGTGTGAAGCTGTTGACAATGAGATTGGTGCTATGGAATCAACAAATACATGGACAGTGACTACTTTACCTGCAGGTAAGAAAGCTGTTGGCTGCAAATGGGTTTTTACATTGAAATTTTTGGCAGATGGGACTCTTGAACGATATAAGGCTCGACTGGTAGCTAAGGGTTTTACTCAGAAAGAAGGGTTAGATTACACAGAAACGTTTTCTCCAGTTGCTAAGATGGTGACCATCAAAATGTTACTCAAAGTATCTGCATCAAAGAAATGGATACTTACACAACTTGATGTTTCAAATGCGTTTCTGAATGGTGATTTGGAAGAAGAAATTTACATGCGTTTGCCAGAAGGATATGCTGATAGAAAAGGTATCACTTTACCTCCGAATGCTGTGTGTAAACTTCTCAAATCAATCTATGGACTTAAACAGGCATCAAGGCAATGGTATAAACGGTTTTCTACATCTCTGCTCAGTCTTGGTTTTATTAAAGGCCATGGTGATCATACTCTATTTGTGAAACCAGTGGGAGAAGACTTTGTTGCTGTCTTAGTCTATGTTGATGATATTGTTATAGCCAGTACCAATGCCAATGAAGCAACTCAGTTGACTACTGCTTTGAAACAGATGTTCAAATTGCGAGATTTGGGTCCTCTCAAATATTTTTTGGGATTGGAAATTGCTCGTAATGATTCTGGTATTTCTCTATGTCAACGCAAGTATGCATTGGAGTTATTATCTCACACTGGTATGTTAGGATGCAAGCCTGCACCTATACCAATGATTCCTAATCTGAAGATGTATAAAGGAGAAGGTGAATTGTTAGAAGACAAAGAACAATACAGGAGAATTGTTGGCAAGTTAATGTATCTGACCATCACTAGGCCTGATATCACATTTGCTGTCAACAAACTTTGTCAATATTCTTCTGCACCTAGAGCTCCTCATCTCGCAGCTGTCTTTCAAGTGTTGCAGTACATTAAAGGAACTGTTGGACAGGGACTTTTCTATTCTGCTACTGCTGATCTCACTTTGAAAGGTTTTGCTGACTCAGATTATGGAGGTTGTTTGGATAGTAGGCGATCCACAACTGGTTTCTCTATGTTCATAGGAGATTCTTTAATCTCTTGGAGATCCAAGAAACAACACACTGTATCACGCTCCTCTGCAGAAGCTGAGTATCGTGCTCTTGCTCTTGCTTCTAATGAACTGGTGTGGTTAAGTGTTTTGCTTCGTGACTTGCGAGTCAATGCTACAGCAGTTCCTATTCTGTTTTCTAATAGTACTGCTGCAGTTTACATAGCCACTAATCCGGTGTTCCATGAAAGAACTAAACATATAGAGATTGATTGCCACACGGTAAGAGATCGTTTGGATGCTGGATTACTCAAGTTGCTGCATGTTAACACTGCAGATCAGGTGGCGGACATTCACACTAAACCTTTGTTTCTTCCTCAGTTTGAGCATTTAAAATCCAAGATGAGCCTTATCAATATCTTTCAGGGCACATCTTGAGGGGGGTATTAGTTATGATCATTGGTTTAGTGGTTTACTCTGGTTATCTTAACCAGATTGTATTTGTGTATTTAGATATTTATCAGATACTTGTATAAATACTATTGTACAGATACATTTTTACAATCAATGAGAATAACAAACTTTTCTCAACGTCTT